TGGATCCAATCTCCTCCTGCATTGTGCTGGATCCAATCTCCTCCTGCTTTCATTGGAGGCAGCTACTGTACAGCACTGGCAATGCTCCCAGGTGTGGCAAGAAGCCAACCCAACATTTTAAATGAGCAGTTAGTAGGACAATGCAAATTTGATAGTGTCACAAAGGCCCCAGCTGAATGTGAATCTTGGCTACTCAGCAGTTGCATATCATGAGGTCAGATAACAAGAAAATAAGATGCAATCAGGTCATTGGTGCCAGTGGCAGGCTTAAGGGCATCCATAAATAGAGGCTCACCATTGCATGAGGAGCTCCTGCAGACTGCTCTGTGACAGTGTTCAGGGTGCAAAGATGACTGCTGCTTTCCACAAACTGATTTCACAGGCATTTCAGTCAAACCCTGTGAGGCATTTGCATCAGCAATACAGTGACAATTTTCCCGCCATGAAGCCTTCCCCTGTTCACAGGCTCCCTGTTGCCAAGTTGATTTTCTATTTAAAAGACTAAAATTGAAGAGTAAAGTGGCTGGCAAAATTGAAGAGTAAAGGGGCTCCACCATCATTTTCAATGGCACCCCTAGAAACAGCCTGAAGATTGTCTGGAAAATGATTCAGGGTTTGTGCTGCTCTAATGGCTTGTTTATGGCTTCATTTCACACATTTACACAGTACCTCGCTGAAAAAAAAAGCACAACTACTTCTTGTGACAGAGAGAGAGAGAAAAAGAAACCAGCTGCTGTGGAGAAGCAAAAGGATTGTTTTATGGTAGGATCCTGTAAGAGTTTGTTTGCTATCCAAAAAGGTAAAGATGGAAATTTTGGAAATTTAAGTCTAACATGAGATTTGAACATATGGACAGCCCAAAGATCATGAAGCAAGGGTTTTTTTTTCCTACTGGCACCGGGTCATTACAAACAGGAAGGGAAGTTAAGGATACACAACAAACTATTTACAGTATATATAGAATGAAACCTGTGGGTTACACTGGGCTGAGGATTGCTCTGAGATAGTAAGAACTGCAGATGCTGGAGAATCTGAGATAACAAGGTGTAGAGCTGGAGGAACACAGCAGGCCAAGCAGCATCATAGGAGCAGGAAAACTGACGTTTCAGGTCAGGTCCCTTCTTCAGAAATGATGCTGTCTGGCCTGCTATATTCCTCCAGCTCCATGCTGTTATCTCAGACTCCAGCATCAGCAGTTCTTACTATCTCTGAGTGAGTTATACTGCAAAGCCCATTTCTGAAGAAGGCTCCCGGCCTGAAACAGCAGCTTTCCTGTTCCTCTGATGCTGCCTGGCCTGCTGAGGATTGCTCTGTCTTTTCTTTTTCATTTCATATATTTTTCTAATCAACCTGTTCAGAGATGTTATTACACACCTCTGGAGCAGGTAGGATTTGAACATGGAGCTCCCAGTCCAGGGATAGGGACACTTTTACTGCACCAGAAGCAGGTCCCTCTGTATATCTTCTTTTTTAAACCCAAGCAAGAGTCTGTTTGACTGCTCCAGCTGCCCTCCAGCATCAGTACTACCTGCTGGATGTCACAGCAAACTGCTCATCACCCCTGCTCAGTGCCCTCCATCATTGTTGTCACCTGCTGGGCCTTTCAGTAAAAATCAAAACAGAAATACCCAGGCTGAGTCGAATGAATTTTGATGGACAGAGGAAGTTTCAACTTAACATAGGAAGGAGAAGTGAGCCTGCTGGAGAGTTGGAAATTGCTTTGGACATGTTCCTGTAATGCTACACATCTGGAAGATGTGTGGGGTACTACAAGGGGATCACAGAATCTATCTCAATTATGTTTGTTAATTGATGCTAAAATGACTTCTTTATTTTGGTCTATTAGTTGCAAGCTAGGTAGCATTTGGTCTATCTTGATTTTATAGTTTGTTACAGTAAAAATCTTGAAACATGAAACCTTGACCTTCAATTCTTTCCATCCATTGCTGGGGCATTCATAACGTCCAAAATGCTACTGGTGTCTTTGGCGACTATTGCAAATGCAGGTTAAAGAATACATAGTGATTAAAAAAAGCAATAATTTGAGCAGAATATTTATACTCGACTAAGGAAGAAATTTTCTCTGCATAATTTGTATCACCAAATTTTAAACAGTTTCATGAAGTGTGGATCTCTGAACTTGCTTTGTAAATCAAGATTAAGTAAGTATCAAGCAAACCTGTACATCATATTCCCACAGTTGGTTCCCCCTCATATGATGACACTTCAACATGACAACTGGACCATTTAGTCTAGACACATCCAGACATAGATCATCTGTCCTGATCTCTTTTTCTGCCGTATAGGAGAACACCTGGAGGGAGGAAAAAAATTACAAAATTATGCCTAACCCACATGGTATTTCAACTTTATACCACAAACAAATCTCCTTCTATGATTCAATTATCTTAAAGTCTTCGCTATTCACTTGAATAAAGATGACATTTTGGACACCATGGCAAATTTGGGAAAAATATCTTCAAGGCACTACAAGATTCAATTTAGATAAAAATTCCTTTGCTTGTTCTCCCATAGTGAATTTAATGAAACATATATGCTTTATATTCAGAAATTATTCAATAAATTATTCTTTCCATTTATAAGTAACGTAAATATCTCATCAAAATAGTAGGGACGTATAGTAGGGAATTATTGAAGCATGCCTTTTTCATCATGTTTAATTTATTTTTCAAGTCTCTGAGAGAAATTGGTTCCCAATTTTATGGGCAAAAACTTCTGAGGCAATTCCTGGTGTCTTAATATGTCTAAGGCATCCAACCTGTAGTGATTAAGGGAACCTTTCAGGCGTTAACAATTTCACAATCTAAACCATATTTAAGGACCTCTAAATGGCTAATAATCACCAAGGTTTAATCTGTCTCTGAATCTCATTGGTTGCTGCAGTTCATGAGAAACTTTACACACAGGGAGCACTGGCTATGAGATTACAGGACATTAATTTAAGCAGTTTAAAACCAAAAAACTTAGGCATTGTATGCCTGTGATATCTTGACCAGCATTCCATTCCAGTACTGTTCCTGCCTAGAAGCACCTGAATGGAGAACCACTCATACTGTTTATTGTTGTTTTGTTTTCCAATTTAGGCTACTAATGGTAGCTCGATAAGAATGTCAAGAGATTACCTTAAACAGGCTTTTGGACACTTGAATATGTTTCTGAGTATCCTAATATACATTTAACGAGCCTTCCAGAAAATATGTCATTGCTCAACAGAAGTGACATTGGGCCTGCACTGTTCAGTTTCTTAATTCAACTGGTGACCTAGTCTGTGGTCCTTAAAGGAAGGCTACCACCAAGAATGTAAGTTAGTTTTTAAAAATGAAATTCCAAATTAAGACATCTATGGTGTTGGAAGTGTCAAGAGCTCTCCTTGTACCTAATTTCACAGGAGTCAGAAGGACACTGTTAACAGTGCTTGGTCCCATCCATGCTGTCCCCCTTCTTCACAATATGGTCTCTGAAACTGATTTTCACTCTATATGTCACTCTGCATGCAAACTGCCTGGGAATGTATCAGCAGCTTTCCAAAATTTTTAAATATAATGTCACAGGTTCCAGTATCAATTAGATCTCAGTCCTGTCTCATTCTCTGACCCCAGATCATGTTAATATCTAATTCAACAATTTAGAATACGACTTAAGTAGTTACTCTATTTTGTTTTTTTTTTGATAGAAACTCTTATAATCTCATTTTTTGCAACAAATTGCAAATGCAGTTACTTCAATGTTAAAACTACTGATATTATGCAATGTTACCTATTACTAGCTACAAGTGTATTTATTCTGACATGATATTAAGGCTTTAGTAAAGGGACATAACCATTGTCTGCTTTTAATTTAGTTTTTGTTATGCTACTGGCCCAGATTTGTGACATAAAAGTAACCATACTGTTTTTCTTTATTAGAATATCACAAGATGATACAGAATGCAATGTGAAAACTAAATACGACTAATATGATCTCAGCTTCTTCTGTTTCTCATGTGCTGTACACGCATTATGCATAAACAAACTAAACTCAAACTAAAAATGACAATATTTTCGTGTCTCTTCCATTATTTTGGCCATAGCATTTTAAAAAGTGCCAAAATTCCACTTTCAATTGGAGCAAATAAAGAGTACTAAGCCTGTTGAGGGTGACAGCAGCAAGTTTGAAGAGGAGAAACATCAACTCATGTACTCACAGTGTAGCTGAAAGAAAGCTAGGTAATCAGAGTCTTTTGCACCAAAATAGAAACTTCAGTCCATGCTGACCATAATCACAAACTAAACTAGTCCCACATCCCTCCAAACATTTCCTATTCATGTATTTATCTATATGTCTTTTAATCCTTATGGAAGATCATGGCTATCCTAGGAGATAAAAAAAAAGATTTTCTCATGTTCCTTCTTCCTGTTGCCCATTTACAAAAGATATCAAGTGACGTTTGTTTTAGGTATATCAACCACATAATGGAAAACAGCCCTCTCTACTTGTACTGAGCTGCATTAGGTGGGGTATGGCCTCAGATCCAGTGATAATAGAATCTAGTGCCTGATAAGAAATAGAACAGTGAGTACTACATGCTACATTATCAGCCACAATGTTTCCAACTGACCAGTATTAAAATAAAGATAAAATGTATATGTTGTACGCTGAAAAACACCCTATGATTCATTCAAGAGGCTTAGTAATTTTAACAAAAGCCTTGTACTTATGAAATAATTATACCAGTCCTCACAAGAATCTCACTCAAAACTGTGCATAATCAAATTGATCTTGGCTGACATTTCAGTTCAGCCTAGAGAACTCTCACTAATGTCTAATTTACCTTTTTAATTGATTCAAAGTATTCTCATCAAGACTGTGAGCAAACCTTAATGTCACTGCTCCCAGAATGTTATACAGAAAAGTACTGAGTCTCAAGGTAACTGGATACCTGCAGGAAAACTATACAAACTAAAATTAAAATTGCATGTATTTCCATGAAGTTATATGTTTAGACCTATGTTCATTGTGATCGTAACAACAGATCAAAGAAATAAGCTGTACCTTATCCAGATTCTTTTTGAATATTAACTTGGTATACCCCAAGGAATACTATGGCCCCTATATGAAAAGTGGTATGCATGCATTTAATACACTAGTCCATATCTCATTTGAATATTGGAAAGTGCAAGAGAGATTAAAAATAAACTTTCTTGCGCCAAACAAAACAGCATTCTCATCCTTTCAAAAGGAATAAGGAGGTCAGTAGGGTAAGATAAAACTAATTAGGAGGGCAATAGGAGAAAATCTATGTTAAATGTTAAAAAGTACATGGAAAAGACCAGTGGGACAAATGGAAAGTATGGAGATAATCAACAAAATACAAGCCCGTATGCAAATCCATGCATTTTAAAAACTAAAACAAGCAAGTTAGATGGACAAATTAATCTTCAATTCTACATAGACAGAATTGGAAAGTAGTTGAGTTATACTAAACTTGTATAGAATTTTGGGAAGACTGTACTCGGTACTCATAGAATCGCTACAGTGTGGAAGCAGGCCATTTGGCCCATCAAGTTCACACCAACCCTCCAAAGAGCAGCCCACCCAGGTCCACGCCCCTACCCTATTCCCGTAACCCTGCATGTCTCATGGATAATCCACCTAGCCTTAACATCCCTGGATACTATGGGCAAATTAGCATGGCCAATCCCCCTAACTTGTATATGTGTGGGCTGTTGGAGCGAACCAGAGCACCTGGAAAAAACACGCACACATGGGGAGAACGTGCAAATTCCATGTGGACGGCCACATAAGGCTGGCATCAAACCTGGGTCCTTGGCGCTGACAGGCAGCAGTGCTAACCACTGAGCCACCATGTTGCCCAACACTGAACAGTGCTGGTTCCCATATTAGGAAAAGGATACTCCAGCACTGATTTCACAATCTAGGGAGTTCTGGAGGATCACAACTCAATGTCTCTGCAATTATCTCTAAGTAAAGGTTAGGGTTAGGTTCTACCTGTCACCCCCATTATGAAGGATGGGCCTGGCCTTGTTGCTGCAGAACACTCCAAGCAGCTGGACCATTCCGTCAGATTCTAATATGTGAATTTCTTGATATACAAATATTGTACAGAACTGCTTCCATACCTATACATGTACATAAATTTTCTTTATGAATGAAGTACATTTTTGCAAAAAACAACTCTATCCAAAAGGTGCTGGGAAAATGGTTCGGAGAGACTGGGCATGCACCAAACCTAGAGAGAAGCATTTTGCCAAAGTGAGGAAGCAACCGGGCAGATGGGAGCACCACTCCCTCTCCACTGCAGGTAAAAACCTGGTCACCAGGTGCAAGATATCCTCAGTATTGTATGTGGCATAGGTCTAGATATTCCCCGAGCCTGCGCCACTGCAGTCACCCGAGATATCTTCCACTTCATCTGGAGATCAAAGATGACCATGTCGGCAGGGACACAATGTACAAAGCTCTCGATAAGTCGGAGGAAGAACATAGTCAATGCCACCCTCATCCTGATGGCCATCTTTGTGTGCAGCTGCATCAACCTATGTGTAGACCCTTGGCACATAAACACCAAGTGTCATTACGTACTGAGGTTCTACCTGTCCCTGGTGTAACAAAGAAAACACTCCAAGTAGTTGAACTGTTCCGTATCACCTGTCCTTATGAAAAAATTTGCAAAAGAAAACACCTTTGACCACAAGTCCATGAGATAGTGTTTAGCATGTAGCATCCTTGAGACCCTGCAAGAAAAAGAGAGGGTTGATCCTGTTGCTCCTTGAGCATACTGTCTAAGTTATTTGGCAGAATGCCTCATCACCAGAGCTTTTCAACAAGCATCAAGACCTAGCTTGGCTGGTGATGGGAAGGTCTGTTTCCTGGGTTACACAGTGAGACAAACATTGACTGTGCACAGAAGACCATAACTCGGTGAAAGATGCTCTTTGGTCTGCCCGAAACTTGTTGGTCTTCCATTGTAAAGAGTTGACCTCAAATGAGTGTTGCAGACTGGCACATTCCCAGATCAAGGACTACACACCGAGGGATGCACAAAAGTGCGAGGCAGCTGCTGTCAAGGCACAGTAGGGACAGACCACCATCTAAGGTATTTCTGCCAAAGTACCACAAAGGTCTGTCCCATTATCAGACCCTCTCGTTTCCTCAAAATCTATATAAATATTTTCCTGCATGAGTGGGAAACGCTTTTGCAACTGCAGAAATGTCAAACGCCAATTTTGGTTCTTTTCTTAATCCACAAAGACTCTACAAAACTGCTTTAGTACCTTCTGTTTGTACATAAAG